ATAGAAGTGGTACATTTTAACTTGTTTCATTATACATTATATTCTTACAAGGACATGATCCTTTTCGAACAAAAACTTAGATAGACATTTAAGAGAAATAGTCAAAAGACTCACACTGTTTAACTACATTGTAGTGTATGCGGTTCGATCATAAATCAATTAATAATTACTTTAAAAATCCTTCCTCACTAAAATAAAATCTATATATTATTTTTGTCATCTTTGTTATTCTACTATAAATAGTTAAATGCATTGTATTAATTTTCGTCTCGCTTGTAAAAAAACATGTTAATGTTATATATGTAAATGTCAAACTAATTTATGTTCTATTCATCTGTATTGATCTCTGTGTTTTTCATGCTTACTTATCAATAAACAATTATACTAAAAATTCGACAGTGACGATTTTTGGGGGTAAAAAAATATTATAAAAAGCCAGAGCAAACCCTTGCTCCGGGCTGTTCATTTCATGCTCCGTATTGGGCTGTTCTTTTAGTGGTCCGTATTTAGTTGTGCAAACGTCGTGATCGTCATTATCGAAATTTTATGTGTTAATTTTTGACTGAAAATCTGAACTTGTGTACTTTATTTATTATTTTCACCGATATCATCACTAAGGATAATTATAAAAACCAGAGAATTTACCAGGTAAGATTTTTTTACATCGTTATTTTATGACCCTCGAATTACACCCCGAATCAAAAGTAACTCTCACTTAAACATTTTTTTGCACCAACAATAATAATCATTCTGACCCTTTTTTTTAGTATTTATCATTTTATTTTTGTATTCTATTTTTGAGTTACGACAATATATAATTCATACAGTTTTCTAAATTTTTGGGAAACAAAGCCCTTATAAGTTCTCACCTTTAGACTTCAGATAAACGTCAATATTGATTTTCCTGATATTTATGTTTATGGTTGTGAATACTTATAAAATGTTGAAGTTAAATTTTTTTTTTTTATTGATTAACTAATATTTTCTATCACAAATAGGAAACAAAGATAAAAGTAAGTATATTTTGAATATTTTCTACATAATTTTCACCTTTTTTATAGACATAGTATGAATATAATAAAAAAAAGAAAATATATGAATATTTTGACACACATTGACTGGCAAAAATTGAAAAAAAAAGAAATGTTAATGGGCTATTAATATATATTTTATTTTCCTCCAACATAAAACATGTTTTCGTATATATTTTATAAAATTATCAGGAACTAAATGCCACAAAGCATTTATTAATTTATGACGAAAGAAGGTAAATAGTGACTTTCGTCGGGCTATGCAATAAAAATTAACACTTTTAAAACTTTGAAGATGATTAATTTATTTTTATGGATTCATTAATATATGCTTTCATAAATAGGAGGAGAAAGGGAAAATGTGCATGATATTTTGTATATTTAAGCAAACAAATATATAAATGATATTAAATATATTAATTATAATAATTTTATAGTTTCTAGCTACTATTTTTTTTTCAATCTTTTTTAATATTTCACTTAATAAAACACAATTTTTACTTATTGCACAATTAATAATACTGGAAACATTCACAAGCGTAAATTTACCTTATTTAATACTTCATAATAAAATTGTTCATATATATTAAAATCATAAATTTTACTACATTATATTATTAAAAGATACAATTGATGAAAACTAATAAATCTTTCTATATATTGTAACTTTATCTACACATGTAAATTTCTATTAGTTTACAATCCTTTTTATTATAATTTCCAGAATTTTTCAGTAACGAGTCTAGCATTTATTAAATAAAAAAATTTATTTATTTTTTCTTTAATACTCGTTCCAACTATTGTAAAAATAATCGATTTCAGATTTTCATTTTCGTCATTTTTTTCTATCTCCCAAATGTTAAATTTTATTTTGCTAGATGGTTTAAATTAATATTTCTGGTAAAATATGAAAATTGAGTATTTGAATTTGTAAAGCAAAATTCTTCTTTTCGATTTGTGAAAAAATAATTATTTTTTAAATAATTTTTACATTAACTAACGATTTTCATATTTTTCTTTTATTAAGAAAATAAAATTTATAAAGTGGAAAAAATTGTCAACATGGAAAATAAATTTAATTTATCTTAATATGCATAGTTTGTAGCGAGATGAATGAATTACAGATACAACATAATAAAAACAAAAATAAAAATAAAAAATATCATATACAAATAAAACATTTTCTGAAATGATTTGTAAGAATAAATACAATATCGCAAGTAATACTATAAATATATTAAAATAATAAAAAATACATGAAATATCTCGCTCACAATGACATAGACGGAAATAAACATAAAACTTTTGGGGTAGGTATAATATTTAATGATGATATTTTATATAATTTTCTAAAATTTTGGAGAACTAAGAACCAATAAAACCCCATCCATTTATGTCCGACGAAGGTCTGTTGACATTGACCATGTCAACATAATTATAAACAAGACTATTAAAACGCTAAAGTTAAATAAATTTGCTTTATTGATCCAGTACTATTTTTTTCATATATAGATGTCGACAATAGGAAAGGTGAGTATAATTAGCCATAATTTTTATTCATAAAATATTTTAAGATTTCTTTTAATAAAATATAATTTATTCTTTTTTCACAAGTAATAATATCAATATTAGTGATGGGAAATATTAAATAGTTACTATCGAACTATTCGATAGTCATTCAAAAACTATTCGGTACCACCATTTGAATAGTTTTTAAAATATTTTATAGTTTATGTTAAAAATAAAATATTCGGTGGTATAAAAACAATTCGAATAGTTAATCGGTAGTTTTAAATATTTGACAATGCCCATCACTAATTTTTTTTATAATCAATTGTATGCTATTTATAATACCCTGAATAAACAGTTTTTAACAATCCTAATTAGATCGTTAGTGTTATTAAAACAGCAAAACTATAAATCAGACTATAATTTTACATAAGACAAATATTTTAGAAAATTTAACTTAACATATTTTTTTTACGAAAATTTTGATGTAAAATGATTATTTCGAAAATTAATATTGATTTATATTTAAAAAATTAATTTTAGCAAATTATTTTTGCTTCGATGTGAAGCTGAGAAGGTATTAATTTTACTATGATGTTTTTTTTTTTTTTTTATCTGTTACCACTTTTTCTCAGCTCTCACTGAACCGATTTCTTTCAATGATACGTCAAAAGACCACAAATCGTATCTAGTCTAAGACATTACCCTCAAAAATTGAAAAAATTTCCCTCGTTCCCCGTAAATGGGGGAAACCTCCAAAAAATTTACGAATTTAAAAATCGCTAATTTTCAAAATTTTTTTTACTTAAAACTGCCATAACTTTTTTAAAAACGACCAAATCATTTTAATTATTTTTTATAGATACTCGATGTTTTTAACTGTCATTTGGTAAATTGTTTTTATAAATTTGACCCTAGACCTGCCCACGGGGGAGGATTTAAAATGACAACTTTTTCATAAAAAATTTACTTTTTCAACTTAACTTTTGAAAGTCTGACACTTTTATATATATCTTAAATTAAAGCTTATGTAATGTTCTTTATTATGAAAAAAAAAATTTGGAATTTATTTTGTCTTCATAGTGAAAATGGCTACCAAATGCTATTTTTTTGTGAAAATTCTTGATTTTATTTTTTACATTTTTAACTTTATAATGCTATAACTTATTGAAAAGTATATAGATCAACACAATTTTTTTATGTAAAATAATATTTATTAATAATCCCTTTTTCATTCGACATACTTTATCTTAATCAGGATATTAATAAGGAACTAGCAGATCATGTAGCTTTTGGAATAATCCCCCAATTTTTTTAAAATTAAACACTATCTAAAGATTTGAATCGAAGCGTTTTTTTTGATAGTGATTTTAATCACAGTCAGATATCATTATACTTGATCCAACTATACCACGGCACCACTGTGCCCGACCCCCCTGTGCTGAGTTTTTTTTTATTTTATTGTTTTGAGCAAGTAAAAATAATTTTGGAAAATTTTTGTCAACACCAATTTAGAAGAAAATATTAAAATCTATAATTTATATTCTATACATTGTTACGCTAAGTGTGTTAGTTTTAAAAATAATAATCAAAAACTGAAAAATTATCTTTTTGAGTGAATTTTCAACCCCGATTCGGACCTGAAGGGGGTAAGTTATCAAAACCCAATTTTACACAAATAACTTTCATATAATTAAAAACAAAATTGGTTGGTATGGAGATCGATCAATGAAAGTTAATAAAATAATAGCTACCCTAATATATATATATGCAACTCATCCCAATTGCTTTTAAAAATGCTATAACGACTCACAGATTAAAAATAAATAAAATGATACTTTTTACTATTACTTAATTATTTTTACAAATTATTTTACCCGATTAATGTAATGCTTCGACTGATAGATATACAGTTATTTGTTTTAATCATAACCCATTAAATTATTTATAGAACAAAAATAATTTAATATTTTTTTTTAAGTAACTTTTTTAAATAACAGTTCAAAAATTCGATATAGTTTATTAGTGATAGGACTGACGCAGCAATGATTCCAAATTCAACCTAAATGTATAATATACGAAGGATTATATTTACAAGTAGCTAATTAGTTATTCTTGGCGTCGATATTCATTATTATTAATGGTAGTGTGGTACATTGTTGTCAGTTTATAAATATACTAACTGGCAGTACAGAAAGCATATCTATTGATAAAGTCACAATTGACAATAAACGCTTAGAGTTTGTGATAGCAAAGTCATAAAAAACTAATTAGTTGCTTGTATTTGTAATCCCTCGTGTATTATACATATATATATACTCAAAAATTTGAAACTTTACTCGTAATTTTTTATAGAATTGGTACAAAAATTTTGAGAGTATCTAATAAACAATCCCTTAACGGTGGGTTACAAGAACTAATACGGTCACATTCCCGTTAACTTTTTTCTCAGCTAGATATAGTTAATATGCTACAATAACACTTTTTAATTTCATTGGGTATTTAAAGTATAATATATTTTTTAAATGCATTTTATATTAGAACTGTTCACGACGAAAATAATTTTATGCAAATACTTTATAGGATAATTACATTGTAAATAAATATTTTTTTGTATATCATCCAAAATTTTTTATATTTTTAATTAGTTAATTGCACTCTTAAAAATAATATTTGAATTTATGCATACTTATACTGAAAGTCATAATATAAAGTTACGCATACAATGTAAGGGAAATTTTTGATAAATAGTTATAAAAATGTTATTTTTATGTACAAATTTTCACTAATTTATGTTAAAGTTATGCTATTTGTGTGTAAAATTAATGTGTATATTCAGGTCCGTAGCAAGGGGGGTAGCGGTACCTATGCCCTGGGTACAAAATCCTGGAGGGCGCAAAATTGTAAAATGATTAAATTTTTGTTACAAATTGTGATATCTGTTATGTATTGTGTATAACTTCAATGCCATTTAGATTTATTGGTACTTGGTTAATTGGTAAAAAATTGTATATAGTTCATTATTTATAATAATATTTTTCTACTTACAAAAATTTGTTGAACTGGATATTTTTATCGATCGACACGAATGTCGAAGGAACATTTCGGTGAAATATCGTTTGTAAAATATATTAGCTACACATTCAATTAATAGAAAATATTATCGTTATCGCGCTGCCGTCTCAATGGTCATCTATAAATATAATGTAAGTTTTTTTTTCTGAGTATTAGTCAATTGAATACGGAAAAATGTTAGCTAATGATCTCGGTATTAAAGCATATTTTTCTGATAAACGAAAGAGGAAAATAAAAAAATTAGACTTTGAATTAATTGAAGACGATATAGAAGTATTATCTCAACAAAGTCAATTAAAAAAAAATATATGAGAAGTTCATGACCAAATACCTACTGAACTAAAAAATCGATTTTAAAAAATGTCTGAAATTGTTGAAGATTTTAAATTTTTATATGGTAGTAGAGCTTGAAGGATACCTCATTTGACTATATTTTATTTCCGAAGTAAAAGATTTTAAATCTGAAACATTATCTCTTTTACAGACTTAAGAGTCGCAGCACCTTTAGACGTACTTTAATTAATTATAAAATATTCATTACGCGCTGAGTATCCTAACGTAGAAACGTAGATTTATGCAAATTTTTGAATTTTCCAATAACTGTGGCGACGTGTGAAAGATCATTCGGTAGGTTAAAACTGAAAACTATTTAAGATAGAATATCTGATTTGGCTATTTTATCTATTGAAAATATATTGATAAATACTTTGAATGCAGACAAACTTATTGAAGACTTTGCTCGGAAAAAAACTAGAAAAGTTTTATTTTAATTATATTTAAAATTAATATTAAATAATGTTATGTTTCTTTAAACATTACGTGCTACATATTAATATGTTACTCATAATTTTTTTTTGTATAATTATATTTTTAAGAGTTATAGATTTAAATAAAATTATCATCGTTAAAAATGTAATTAATTAAATTAAATAAAAAATATTTATAAAATAATTATGAAAAATTAAAATAGCACAACGTTTATTGTAATTTGAAAATGTTTTCAAGCGTAATTTATTATTATAATTTATATTTCTTTACGGGCGCAATAATTAGTTGTTACGGTTATGTATAAATTAAAAATATCATATTGGCATATCAACATTTTTGAATAATTTCTTACAGAGTGTGAAAGTTGCACAATTAAAGATACAACAGTGAAAATACATCCAGGTTCTGGGTGCGAAATTCATATGTTATGCAAAAATTGCAAGGAACCTTGGTGTTGTAACAAATGTTTTTTGAAGGCGCATAATGAATCTTGGGCAGTAAGTAAACTGTATTTAAGATTATTAATCTAACCACGTAAAATAATGTAAAGGAATTTATAATGCTTTGATTAATTTATTTTATCGGAATTTCATCATGAACTGGTACATCGTGTAAAATACAACGAAAGACTTGCTGTAGAAGCAAACTACGCTCATTATTGCTTCTTTTATAAGAATTTTTTTTTATACCTAGAAGAAGCCTAAGTATTCATCGTATCGCTTACCTTTGATATAATTTTTTATATTGAATCACATTTTATAATATTTCAATGTCTGTAATAGTTATAAGCTTAAGTTTTAAACAACTCACTAATATTTTACGAAGAATGTTTTTGTTGTTGGATAATTTTCTTCTTATTAATAAAAAATGTTGAACAAAACTTTTATACTAGATTAATGTAGTAATATTATTAGTTTAATTCATATCGTTAAATGAAAAAGTACTCTGGACCTTTTATTAATACCATAAGCTTGGTGGTAACGCGTTTGAGATGAGCCAGATATTCTCTATCACACATTTTACAATTGTTTTGATAATTAATTTACATTGTAAAAACGATTATGTTCACTGGTGGGATACTCTCCATATGAGTTATAACTGATTATTTAACTAAAAAGTAAAAAAATAATTTTTAAACTAAGAAGATAAAGAAGTTATTGGAACTAATTCCAGAATAAAACATTTAACATTATGATTATAGCTGTATTGTACTTGACTAAATAATATATATATATCTACAAATGTCATTTCACCTTTCTCACTGCAACTCTTTCTTATTCATTAACCAATCACTATTATTAATAACGAAGTTCTGTGTGCGTACGCCGTCGTCGACTCACTTCTTTTGGATTACCAGCCAACATCTCATGAGATTCATTTAGGTTATAATTACCCATAAATTTTTTTTATTTATTTGTCAGTTTATATTTTATAGGTCACAAAATAGCTCACAGCCCTTCAAGTCGGATATAAATTATATAGGTTCAGTGTAGTCTCGTTTAGGTACAGCATAGCCAACTGTTAGGACCCTAGCGAGAAAGCACGTTGCATTACATTAAAATTTAAATTGAATTTAAGTTTAATTTTCTATTCGATTTTTAAAAATTGATTAGAAAAGTAAATTAGAATTAATAAAAAATAAAAGTGCAGTATTGAAATGTAGAATAATTTGTTTTTTTATGGTATTCATTTTAAAACATAATATTGAATTTAATGAATAAATAATTTAAAAAATTAACTTTTTTAGAGATTGATGAAAAAAGGGTATAATTAAGAAGAAGATGAGAATAATCAAAACGAGGTCTCTTCATCTCAGCCTTTTAAAATTATTACAGGAAGTACAATAAGATAACTACAGCTTTGTTCGTTTCATTCCATTTATTAATCTTTTTAGCAATAACTTTTTATAATAATAATTATTATCAGTTTTTATAATTATAATTTTAATAAAAACATTGATTGTCTCTAATATATGATATACATATAATATTAATTTTAAAATATGATCAATTTAAATTTTATTTAATTATTTATAATTTTAAATGTTTACATAATATACTTTTTTAATATATTATACAATTTATTTGAGTTTAATACAATTACTACTAAATGCATTACTAAGTAATGAATGTAGTATCTTCACCTCATTATTTGTGTTTTACTTCAAAGTTATGCACTGTGAATATATGATGCATTTTAGGAAATAAGTCAAAAATAACTAATTTTCACTCAATATATAATACAGATTTTTATTTTCCAATTTAGGATCATAATTAAAAAAGATTTATAATTTGAGATCTTAATATGTTTTGTTGCGACTAACGTCAAAAAAAAAAAAAACAACCAGCACAGGGGGGTCGGGCACAGTGATGCCATGGTATAGTTGGATCAAGTATAATGATATCTGACAGTGATTAAAATCACTATATTAAAAAACGCTTCGATGCAAATCTTTAGATAGTGTTTAATTTTTAAAAAATTGGTGTTTTATACCAAAAGCTACTTGATCTGCTGGTTCCTTATTAATATCTTGATGAAGATAAAGTATAACGAATGAAAAAAGGTTTATTAAAAAATATTATTTCTCATAAAAAAATTGTGTAGATCCATACACTTTTTCAATAAGTTATAGCGTTGTAAGTTAAATATAATATACAAAATAAAATCGAGAATTTTCAAACGAAAATAGCATTTGGTAGCCATTTTCGCCGTGAAGTCCAGAGGTCAAATTTTTTTTTTAAATTAAAGTATATTACATTAGCATTAATTTAAGATATATATAAAAGTGTCAGACCTTCCGGAACATTTTCAAAAGTTAAGTTGAAAAAGTTAATTTTTTGTGAAAAAGTTGTCATTTTAAATTCCTCACCCGTGGGCAGATAAAGGGTCAAATTTACAAAAAAAATATAACAAATGATAAGTAAAGACATCAAGCATCTATAAAAAAAAAAATATATATTGATATGTTCCTTTTTTGTAAAAGTTACGGCTGTTTTTAGTAAAAAAAATTGAAAAAACTTCGAAAATTAGCAATTTTTTAATTTGTAATTTTTTTGGAGGTTTCCCCCATTTACGGGGAACGAGGGAAGTTTTTTCAATTTTTCAGGGTAATGTCTTCGACTAGATACGATTTGTGATCTTTTGACGTACCGTTGAAAGAAATCTGTTCGTTGAGAGCTGAGAAAAAGTGGTAACAGACACAAAAAAAACACATCATAGTAAAACCAATACCTTCTCAGATTCGCATCGAAGCTAAAAGAAGTCGACACTGGGTTATTTCTCCAAGTGGCGTCAAGCCGTTCAATGAAAGAAAATAGTAATACTCAAGAATAATGGACGAACCACAAATAACAATAATACTGATTATTGAATAAATAATATTGAAAAAATGATTGGTCGACAGATGTCAGAAATATTCGACAGTGCGGTGGCGTTCAGTTTGAGGGACGAACGGCGAAACCAACGATTTAGTTGTCACGAAGGTGACTGACTGGACGTATTATTGCGGCGGGTATTCGACGCTAGGCATTTATTGGACTTTACACCACGACGCTAACGCGAGTGTGTAACGGTCCGGTTTACAGTGAGGCGGTGGCTGAGAAGGAGCTGACACGACCGCGGGGCGTCAAACGTGTGACAACGCCGTGGCCGTGTCAGTTTAGTTAATGAAATATTCAATATTTTAAATTGACAATGGTAATATAAATAAATTTATTCAAGTAACAATTTATTTATTTATTATAGTGTATGTTGTTTGGAGAACACTAAATAAGTAAAATTAAAACTATATCAAAAATATTAATCTCAAAAGCAACAAAAAATTACTGAAAAGTTGCGGATACGTATTTCGGAAATAATGTTACCATTATCATCGCTAAACACATACTGATACCCCGACTAGAAAAAACTTCCTTATACACCCTTAGTGACCGTTTTAACTAGTGACGTCATCAATAAGTAATATTATCACATATTGTCAGTTTACACAAGTTTAATAATGAATTTTTCAGTGGGCCAGAATCTCAATTAATTAAATTGTTTTTATTTTTTAAATATTTTATTGCCTCTCCAATATTAAGTTCTTTGTAATTATCTACGTTTGTAATTAGTTTTATGGTTTTAATGAAGTGATTATGTGTCAATAAATTTGTACATGGTATTTTATAAATGTCTCGTTTCCCTTTTACCTTATCTTTTGGGTTACCCAATAAATCTCATTAGTAACATCTAAGAGTAATAATTAAGGAGATTTATTATGTGAAGGTTGTTACGTAGAATAAACAAAAAGAAATATAGAGGTCAGATTTAAAGAGCAATTAAGAAACATTAAAAATCAAGAATTTGAGAAATCTCCAGTAGCTGAACATTTATTGACACATAATCACGCTAAAAATTTTATTTAAATCTGTAACTTTTAAAAATAGAATTATAAAAAATACCCAGCACAGTGAACTCGCGACACAGTGGGACGTGGCATAGTAAGGTCAAGTATAATGATATCTGATAGTGGTTAAAATCATTATCATAAAAAACGCTTCGATTCAAATCTGTAGATAGTGTTTAATTTTGAAATTGGTGGATTATTCCAAAAGCTACATGATCTCCTATATCTTTATTTATATCCTGATTACAATTTTTATGATTTATAAGTTCCAAGGCAACTAGTACTGGTGGTTCGCGAGTCGATGGCGGTCGTTTGGCCGAAAGGGCGAAGTGGCAGACTGCTAATACCATCAGGTCCAACTCCTCCGCCGCTTTGCTCGCGGAGATTTTCCAGTACGGTACCACAGGAGCTGACCATTAAGCAAGTAGTGAGCCCGTCTCGAATGCTTCGACGTCCGTACCCGGGCTGACCCCCCATCTCGCTCACCAATCACATATTTTGGGGTGCTATAATTGTCACTTTTTAGATTTTTATGACATCGCTGTTACAATCACGGAGTGTTTATTGTCAATTATCACCAACAATAGATATAATTTCTGTATTGCCAGTTAGTGTTTTATAAAATCACAACATTATATCTTATTACCATAGATAATAAAGGCTATATGCTTGTTAATATAGTCATAAAAAAACAATTAACTACTTGTATTTGTAATCCCTTGTGTATTATACATGTATATTAACTCAAAAAAATTTGAATCTTTAAATGTTTAAATCTAATAATAAACAATAAAAATTTGTTTATATATATAATATTGATGATACGCACGCATGTATGGGTACGATAACCAAAAATAAATTTATATAGGAATAGTGTTGCAAGCTTGTGGTGAGCGTGGTGTGGGTGGGGCGAATGCGTTACGACAGTCTAGTCTCAAGGATATAGACGACGGGATACGCGAGAATAATAACACGTGGAGTGTGGAAAGTTACAAACTTACAACAACTAACAAACATACGTGTGAAACTAATATAAGCGTGTTAATAAGTGAAATGTTAACTTTATCAACTGCTATTACCGTTAACAATTATGTCTAAAACACACTAATAACATATTTTTATAACATAATAACCAGAATAGTCGACCAGATACTTAAGATGTGAATATTATTATATTATGTATTTAGTTTATATTATGTATGCTGCGGAGTCCATGCGATGATTATTATCAATACAAATATAATAACATCGAATCAAATAACCAATCAATTTCTTAACGTACAATATTATCTACTATAGCGATAATATTTGACCCGCTCGGACTAATTGGACCTGTTGTAGTATCAGCAAAAACGATAATACGACAACTATGGCAATTGAAAACGGATTGGGACGACGAGCTGCCCGCACACATTAGTTGGGAATGGGAAGCGTATCGTAATGAACTAGCAGATATCGAAAAAATACAAATAGCGCGTCGAATAATCGGTTGTGATAACGTGTGCGACATGCAAATTCACGCTTTTGCGGACGCGTCTATGAGTGCATACGGATCGTGTATTTATCTAATGGCAACAGACGCGGACGGGTCGCGTATAGTTCGACTTATTTCGTCAAAATCGCGAGTAGCTCCGTTAAAAATTATTTTACTCTCGCGACTTGAACTGTGCGCCGCCGTATTGTCAGTGTGTCTGGTCAATAAGTTAATTCCAAAACTTAATTTTTGTATAAGTAAAATATAGTATTGGTCAGATTCACTAATCGTTCTTGCATGGATAAATTCACCATCCTCTCGACGGAAAACGTTTGTTTCTCACCACGTCGGAGAAATACATAACACTTATACGGTTGCGCAATGGAAGCACGTGCGGTCAAAGGATAATCCGGCAGATATCATATCCCGGGGATGCAGTCCAAACGCACTAATAGAAAATAAATCATGGTAGACAGGTCCAACGTGGCTAACTCATGATGAATCAAATTGGTCTAATAACAATTGTCAAGAAATTATAGTAGAAAAAGGTGATATAGAAAAAAAAAATTCGTAGTGACAATAAAAAACTGAAAATTTCGATATCACGGAAAGGTTTTCATCATTAACTAAATTACTCAACATAACACCGTATATTCTGAGATGGTGAAAAATTGTGAGAGATAAATGGTCGTTAAATTTAAAATGTAATTACACTATTTCTGACTAGACTAAAATTATTGTTAGTCGTGCAATCTCAATATTTTTCTGAAAAATTACAATGTTTACATAATGGAGAGTCAATAAAAAAGAAGAGTTAATTATTTTTTCTTAACTCTTAAGTTGAACTAGTATTGTATATTGAACTAGTAGGTGACTTAACAATAAATGCGTTTTTAAGTGCACTGAAATGAATGTGGAGTCGTCGGAGTATTGGAAAATTCATATATTTAGATATCACCACAAATATCGCAGGAAGCAACAATAAATAAACGAAATTTACAAAATTATTTACATATAAAAATCACCAAAAAGCTGTAAAAATTGCCATGCCTCTGTCAATGTAGAATGGTAATTCATTTCAGCCCGATCATCACACTTTAGCGATTTATGGGAGTTAACAGTAAAATCAGTAAAGGGACATTTAACTAAAACATTGGGTGAAACAGCACTTACCTATAAAGAGCTATACACCGTATTAGTTCGCATCGAAGCGTGTTTAAGCTCACGACCCTTAATGCCATTGTCTACAGATCCCTCAGATCTTAGTGTACGAAATCCAAGTCATTTTCTCATCGGTCGATCATTAAATGATATCCCACATCCAGACGTAATGAACATCACACCTGGACGATTAAAGCGATGGCAAAGAGTCACACAATTGGAACAACAAGTTTGGGAACATTGGCGAACTGAATACTTTTCAACATTGTAATCAAAAACTAAATGGCACAACTCAGCTGGTCTCACACCAGCTATTGGCGCACTTGTTTTATTAAAAGAATCCAATCTACCACCATTGGAATGGAGACTCGGACGCATTACGGAGTTGTTTCCAGGATAATATGATATAAACAGAGTAGCGACTGTTAGGACAAATCATGGTGTTTTCAAAAGAGCATGTCGATTATTATGCCCGCTCCCCATTGAAGATCAAGAAGAATGATTAGGGTAAACAAATATATATAAATATTTGTTTATAAATTTTATTAATGTTTATTAAAAAAAAAAAAAAAAATGTTTATATAAAAAATTTGATGTTCATTATTATTTATTTATTTATTTTTATATTTATATTTGATTATGTTTTGTATAATATAGTTTCAATTATTTTTTTTTGGATTTTACAAATGTAAAATAGTGTGTAAGCGCGAGTCATTATATAATATTGTATCTTTATCTTTGTTTATCTATCTGTCCGTCAATGTGTCTATTGTAGCATAGGTTTAAACAGTATACGTTATACCGCTGAACCATCAGCGACGCGCTCATAGTCACAATTGTATTTAAATCTTTTCATTTGAGTTTTAATTATACATAAAAATAAGGAACAAATATTTTGTAAAATTTATTCATTCTTGATTAAATGTAATTTTTATTACATTAATCTCAAAATTAAAAAATATCAAACAAATTATTCATAAGAGAGCATTTGATTTATTACCAGTAAGAATCCCGATTCAAAACAACTGAGTAGTAAAAAATTAAAACGTTTAATATACCAAAAAATTTTAAAATATTATTATGAAAACGTTTAATTGAACCATATTATTACACAAAAAAAATATTGTCATTTAAATACTTATAACATAAAAACAAAACCAAAATTTTTATTTCATAACTTTAATCGTCTAATATCTTTGAATATATTATTTAAAATGGGACTTTCAGTAATCAAATACGTGTAGTAAGCAGCAGTACAATATTTTACGAAAGGTTTTTTGCATTTAGGTCCATATATGTACTGCTTTAGAGTACTAACAAAATATTTTGGTGTAGTATTACGAAAAACAACTCCTTCTAATAGTTGATAAGTGAATGATTTTAAATTTGGATCATTATTTCGTGAATTTGGGTTTCTGTTATAAAATCCTAAGTGAAATAAAATTGTCAGTTAATTTATTTATTATATATAGACAGTGAATAAAAATTAATTACCCCATAAAAGATCATCCATAGAAATATTCAAACATTTATATTTTTCTAAGCAATTATGCAGAATACGAAATGCTGTACTAAATCTCAAAATTGTCAAAACTTCCATATGGTCATTGCTTGTAAACTAAAAATGTTTTTTTTTTGTAATTAAAATGATATTAAAGTAGCAGTGTATTGTAAATATTCATATTATAATTTAATGAATGTGTGATATGGCAGGAAAGCCTTTATATTAAAAATTAACGTATTAAATTTGTACAGCCACTAGATTAAAAAATATACTTAACTTTAAACAATAAAACTTTATTTTTACTTATAAAATGTACAAAAGTTTCTTTATTTTAAAAACTTTTTGTTTGCGAGACCAAATTAAAGTAAGATTCATTAAAGTTATCATCATTTTATATCATAATTTAGAAGAAAAAATTGATAGTGTTGAAAATTATAATGAAAATGAGTATCTTGTCAATTATAAAAAATTGAAGTGAATATAAATTAAACTGAAGTGTATTCATTTTTAACTAATATAATATAGTGCCGTAAAATATCATGAAAGAATATAATACATTTACATTCTTGTCACTTGGTGAGAAATTGACTTTTTGAATGTAATTCTTTTCTTATTGAATTATTGAAATAATAATAAAGAAACTGAGAGATTTTTATTTTATTTGATTTTGTAGTTATATACCTTGGGTTGTTCTACTGCAAACAAATTCCTGTGGAAAAAAGCACAACACCTTTTAAGGCGACGTGTATTATGTGATGCATCTAATCCTAAGAGTTCTAATAATCTGTCACTCGTTTTATTTAGTTCTATTTTGCCTAAAACGATTTCATCCTTTAGCTCAATTAATTGTTGATTAATGTTATCTGAAAATCATCATAAATTAGTATTCATAAATTAATTATACATCTGATTAATTCATTAAAAAATTAATAGTATTTAAAGTATACTAGTTGCAACTTTAAAACACAAATAGTTGCATAAAATTATGTAATAATCCAAATTATATTAGAATAATTAATAAAAAATAATAAATCAAAAACCTAAATAATGGTGGGAATGATTAATTTCATTATTACTGTGAACTTTATGTACTGCTGAAAAATCATAGAAATGGATTGCCAACTCAGGAAACAAAATGCTGTTTGTCCCTAACAGGGAGTAAGGATCGAGGGTACTTTGAACAGTATCTCCCACACGTTGCTTAAAGTTCTTTGTAAAATGTTTGCCAATTGTATGTTCTTAACATTTTTTTAAGTTTATGTTTGCAGTAGTAATAATTACTTGACCTGTAATATTACTATTTTGAAACGATCGATACACTAGTTATTATTTATAATTAATATAGGGGAAATTAAAATTGATTTACCTTTCTGTCGTTTTTATTTAAATAATAAAGATAAGTCAGGAGCAATAACAATTTATAATAATAATAATCGTTCACAGAAATAAGCAAATGAAACGAAGCATAAGCAGTCAAGTTTATTTTTATTCACTTTTTTGAAGATTTATTTTAAAGTAATATGTATGGATATTACAAAAAATACTATTTGTAATATCCACATTTAATGTAATTCTAAATAAATAGAGTAATTTTAAATGTTATAAATGTTTTTAAACAGCTAACTTTATTGAAACATTGAATATTAAATTCTATAATAAAACCATGTTAATTTTCATAAATCAATAATTTAAAATTTAATAATAATAATTTAAGAATTAATTTTTATTCGTGATTATAATTAACAACACGGCTTGTCCTAAAAATTGTACCAGAAATTCGTGTGAAAAAGAGGAACGTTATGGGATTAGTACTCGCGACCAAAGTCATCGTAAAGTCTTATCACTAGGACACCCACCATACGCTTATGATTCAGAACATGACAAATTTTCTTATTGGTTGATAACGTGATGTGCAGCTGAGAAAAACACGGTTCTGTATTACTAAGCGATTATTAATATAATTCTGGTGTTCTATCTTCATTTTTTAACATATTATAGAATAATTCACACACTACATACCTTTCAGTAAGTTATAATTTTGCTAAGGTTATTAGCACTGTTACGAAACAAAATTGAAATTAATTTAAGGATCATTTGTAGTACTTTTTTACATAAAAATTTTTTAACTTTTGATATTATTAATAATAAAAAAAAATTAGCTTGATTTACATATTTAGTAATCAAAGTCTTTCAAATCATTTTTTTTTTATTATTGTTATTTATATACACAATCTGTACCAAAAAGGAACAATAAGAGTATTGGTTAAATTAAAATAACAAATGAAAATAAACTCGACAAAAGAAGCCACCCATTGATGAAACTTTTAAATGAATATATTTACATATGTAATTAGTATATATATATATATATATATATATATCTTATACACACATATAAATGCAAATAGGTTTTTGTCTTTAATTAAAAAAAGAGATCTCTACACCATTAGCGTTTTAATTGTCTCGGAGGATTATCAGGAATAATTTTTGACGAAAAACCTTTTACCAGGGGATTTGAGTGAGAGGTTCGTCGTGAGTGGAATATTTTATAATAAGTGACTGCTTTTTCTTTTACAGTTTTAATTTTCAGTATGGAATGTGAGGTTGGAAACGTATGGAGGGGAGTTAGTTAGTTTTCTAAGGATAATATTTTGAAAAGTTTGTGTGTGATTTAAGTTGGTTTTTTTGGCATTACCCCATAATTGGATGCCATAGGTCTAAATAGGTTTAATTAGGGATTTGTACATTAATAGTTTAGTTTCTAAATTTGTATATTTATTATTGTTTATTAAAGTTTTAAGCACACAAAGTCTGAGTTTTAAATGTAGTCTTTTTTCACGAGTGTGATGGACCCATGTAAGACGGCGGTCTAGGGTTAAACCAAGATATTTTATTAATGAAGATGAGGGAATTTGAGTGCCATAAAGAGTAATGCTTGGACATTGTTCAGGCCTGAAAGTAAAGATTATATGAGTTGATTTAGCCTGACTGACCTTAAAACTCCAATTCTTATACCAGTCTTTCATTAATAAAAAGTGGTTTCGTAAATTATACAAAGCAATAATAGGATCTATATTTGTTGATATGATTAATTTATCATCTGAATAATCTGTCACAGAGGTGTTAGGCGTAGTTGGTTGGCCTAAATCAAAAATGTTGTACAGTATAGGAAAAAGGATACCTCCTTGTGGTACGCCGGCACTTATATTTGCTATATCGGAATAAGTGGATTTATAATGAACTTGAAAATGCCGATCAGTAAGATATGATTTTAGAAGTAAGTAATAAGTAGGAGGTAAACATTTTTTTAAATTGTATAACAATCCTTCATACCATACACAATCAAAGGCCTGTGATATATCCAGAAAAGCCCATGTACAGAATAGTTTTTTTCCAGTGCAAAAGAAACTGAATCGACTAGCTTGAAGTTCATTTATGCGATTTTTTAAACCATTTATATTAAACACTAAAACAAGAAGGGATTTGTTTGTAAAAGTGTTAGTCATTTTTTTTACCTAACAAGGACGAAATAAATTTAGTCAATAGGGATATTAGAGGATTTATGAGAGATTTAAAATCATCTAGAAAAAGAAACAGGGTAGCTAATATGACCATCATGTGACTTAAATTTATTTTTATCTGACAAAAAAATGTATTTGAAGAATGTTTTTTGCGACGTTGGATTCCTTTGTAGATTAATTAACCTTTGTAGTTGGCTGGATGTTTTCCTTGACCAAGTGCGCATTTGGGCGTGGTATCACGAGAATTTGTGCAGACAGATGCTTGTTGGAAACCACCGCAGCAAACACAGCGAGATGAATAATTACAATAAGATTTAGTGTGGACGTATTAAATTTTTAGTCGATCAGCAGATGACTTAAAAATAAAGTTTTCAACTTCACTTAATAAGACTAGTGCATAGTTCAGGAAAATCTTTCACAACTTTAATAAAAATTGGAGGTTTGGTATTAGGTTCTGTACTATTTTGTTTTGTAATATTTGAAAAAGAGTCAGTGCATTGTACATCATCATGATTATCATTTGTTCTAAGAAATTCAAATCTATTTGAAGATGAGAATAATTTTTTTTTAATTGGTTGAGTTTGAGTTTTAGGTGAGTATGGCTCTGAGTTAGAAGAGCTAGAAAGATTTCTTTTATTACGCTGTATAGTTTAGCCATCATCTGATCTATAGTTTTCGATGATATTCGATTGAGACGGAGAATTTTGTATATATTTATTGATAATTTTGATCGCTGTAATCGGTCTGCCAATGTTATTGTTGTTACTGTCATTAATTTTTATCTAAGCTACGATATGGAATGTGAGTGGTGGTGTACTATTGTAACACTTATCAAGGGCACCTGCAGCGACAGCAGTGATGATTCAAAGTGTTAGCTTAGATTGCCGATAGCAAATAGGCACGAAAAAAAATTTATATTACACGAATTGTTACACTAAGAATAAAATTGCTAATAACCACAAACGCTTATTTACTGCATTACCGAGCACTGTTATACAGGTAATTAATTAAATTAATAATTAACTGAGAGAGAAAACAAAACAAAAAAAAAGAAAATCATCGGGAGCGTAAGAACACGTGCGTACCAAATTATCACTATCGCAGAATTGCTTCAAATCATTTTAAATATAAAAAGTATCCTACAAGGTTTTGAAATCTTTAATAATTTTTGATCTTCAAATGTTTTGTATTATTTTTATAATAATTTTAACTGAATTGGACTTCGATAAAAACGCAATATTAATAATATTGCGTTTTAATATTGTAACGATATTTACAATCATTATAATACATAATGTAGATATGTAGTACTGGTACTCCACTCCAACTGTATATTTAATCTGTTAAAATATTTTTAAATGATAATGATATACTAAAAAAATTAATTAAAATTTTATTTTTGTTTTAGAGACAAATAATAAAAACACATTATTTTAATTCAGATCAAAATTTTAAAATAAATAAAACCCAGCACAGGGGGGCCGCGGCACAGTGGTGACGTAGCATAGTTGGATCAAGTATAATGATATCTGACTGTGATTAAAATCACTATAAAAAAAACGCTTCGATGCAAATCTTTAGATAGTGTTTAATTTTAAAAAAATTGGTGGATTATTTTGAAAACTACATGATCAACTAGTTCCTTATTAATATTCTGATTAAGATAAAGTATGTCGAATGAAAAAGGGATTATTAAAAAATATTATTTTTCATAAAACAATTGTGTTGATCCATACACTTTTCAAAAAGTTATAGCATTATAAAGTTAAAATTGTAAAAAATAATATCGAGAATTTTCACACAAAGTAGCATTTGGTAGCCATTTTCACCATTAAAAAAAATAACTTCCGAAATTTTTTTTTTTTCATAATAAAGTACATTACATTAGCTTTAATTTAAGATATATATAAAAGTGTCAGACTTTCAAAAGTTAAGTTGAAAAAGTTAATTTTTTTATTTTTAATTAATTTTAAACAGTATATATTTTGAATCAAAAGTCTTTAAATGTGTAAAATCTGGTCGAACACTGTATAATAAATTTAAGGTTACTTAATCATCTTACTTTTGTTTGTTTTTAGTGCATTTATTTTACATTTATCAACACAATTATGAAAATCGAGTTGTGCCATTTCTACATTTTTCGACGTTAATGCATTCAAAACTTCATTAAATGTGGTATCGGCTGATGTTGAAAATATTAGTCCCTATTAAAAAAAACAGTACAGGTTGATTGATGCATGTTAAAACCATATTGATTAATATTTGAAAGAGGTCATCATCAATATCATAAAACTATTAAATTCGCGTATTTTTCAAGTGAGTTTTTTATTTGAGTGATTTATTTTTTCTGCAGTTGTGCCACCAAAGTACGTTGTTACTGCTTAATAAAAAATCTTACACAATATATTTTATTGAAGTAATTTTAAATTTGCCAATTTTCTTAAATCATTAAAAATTCAGATTTATAAAAAAAATATACCAAATGATAGATAAGACTTCATGCATCCATAAAAACATTTATATTGAAATACACATTTTTCAAAAATTCTTAGCATTATAAAGTTAAAAATATAAAAAAGAATTTTTTTATTAACTTTGATGTCTGTTTTCACCCTAAAACAAAATAAAGTCCGAAATTTTTTTTTTAATATTAAATTATATTAAATATGCTTTAATTTATAATATATATAAATGTGTCAGTATTTCCGAAACACTTTCAAAAATTAAGTTGAAAAAGTTCTACTTTCTATATGCATTTTAGCTTCGATGCGAAGCTGAGAAGGTATTAGTTTTACTAAGATGTGTTTTTTTTTTTNTATATATATCTTAAATTAAAGCTAATGTAATAATCTTTGTTATGCAAAAAAAAAATTTTGAATTTATTTTGTCTTCATGGTGAAAATGGCTACCAAATGCTATTTTTTTGTGAAAATTCTTGATTTTGTATTTTACATTTTTAACTTTATTATTCTATAACTTTTTGAAAAATGTATGGATCAGTACAATTTTTTCATGAGAAGTATAATTTATATACATCTTTCATTTGACATACTTTTTTTTTAAATCCGACCATTTCCCTATATACGAGGGGGGTTCAAATCTAAAAAATGCATGTAGAAAGTAGAACTTTTTCAACTTAAATTTTGAAAGTGTTCCGGAAAGTCTGACACTTTTATATATATCTTAAATTAAAGCTAATGTAATATACTTTATTATGCAAAAAAAAAATTTCGGACTTTATTTTATCTTCATGGTGAAAACAGACATCAAAGTTTATAAAAAAAATACGATTTTTGTAAAAAAATTCATTTTTATATTTTTAACTTTATAATGCTATAACTTTTTGAAAGATGTATGAATCAATATAAATTTTTTTTTATAGATGCATGATGTCTTTACCTATCATTTGGTATATATTTTTTATATATCTGACCCTTTACCTGCCCACAGGGGGGATTTCAAATGACCACTTTTTCACAAAAAATTTCCTTTTTTAACTTATATTTTGAAAGTGTTCCGGAAAGTCTGACACTTTTATCTATATATTAAATTAAAGCTAATGTAATTTACTTTATTATGCGAAAAAAAAATTTCGGACTTTATTTTATCTTCACGGTGAAAATGGCTACCGAATGCTATTATTGTGTGAAAATTCTCGATTTTATTTTTTACATTTTTAACTTTATAATGCTATGACATATTGAAAAGTGTATGGATCAACATTATTTTTTTATGAGAAATAATATTTTTTAATAATCCCTTTTTCATTCTACATACTTTATCTTAATTAGGATATTAATAATGAACTAGCAGATCATGTAGCTTTTGGAATAGTCCACCAATTTTTTAAAATTAAACAGTATCTAAAGATTTGCATCGAAGCGTTTTTTTTTTATAGTGATTTTAATCACTGTCAGATATCATTATACTTGATCCATCTATACCACGTCACCACTGTGCCGCGACCCCCCTGTGCTGGGTTTTTATGTTTTGAACCCTCCCTGTATTAAGAAAATAGTCTGATTTAAAAAAAAAGTATGTCGAATTAAAGATGAATATAAATATTATTTTTCAAAAAGTTATGGCAGTTTTAAGTAAAAAAATTTTTTAATTTTTTTGGAGATTTCCGCCATTTACGGGGAACGAGAGAAATTTTTTCGAGTTTTGAGGGTAATGTCTTCGACTAGATACAATTTGTGATCTTTTGACGTATCATTGAAAGAAATCGGTTCAGTGAGAGCTGAGAAAAACAAGGGTAACAGACACAAAATACCTTTTTTTTCAATTAAGTAGATAGTTTAAGAGCTTTCCAAATAAATAAGTTTGAATTCAAAATACTTAGAGTTTATAAATAGTTAAATTACTGTGAATTTAGCAGATTCGTAGCGAAGAGATTTTTATGATAGTGATATTACTTATGTTTAGAAAATATCTATCAAAACTAGTCCCTACAGTTTCCTCACTTTGCCACTGCCTTATGTATTGGTTTTTTTACTTACAATACACAGAATTATTTGAAATTGCAAATACATCATTTTTTCCCAAGTGATAGATCTAAAAAAATTATGTTTTGATTTTATTAATTTACAATACTAATGTTTTATTGGAAATAGTATATAAAAAAAATGTTAAGACACCACGACAATTTTTTTTGATATGAAAACATTTTATAGTCGTCTAGATATTTCCGGTAGTTAAGTGAAAACTTTAGTGTGTTATTTTTGTTACATAACTCTCCAAGCCCTTTTTTTACACCATCGGCATTATTATAGGCCGTAACGTCGTCACGGCTGACTTACGAATACTCTGAAGATACTTGTTAAGGTGACCATTGCCTAACATCACTTTTGGGAAACTGTAAGTCATCTCGTTATGTGTCCAGTCCACCCAGTTGTCTAAACAGCCAAGTCCGTTTAAATTTAAATTAAATTAAATTTTATTTTATTCGTAAAAAAATGTTGTATAAAATATGCGAAATAGTGAAAAATGTTTAAGGCTTCGTGAAAAAATCTGCCTCGAATATTACAAAACTCCCTTCGCCGTTGAAAAAAATAAACTCGATTCAAGTAAAATTGATTTTACAGTTTATGTTTAAAGTTATGTGAATGTCAGTCTCCCTATACGACAAAGAAACTTCATATTCACTACTAATTACTATGTACTAAAATCAGTGGTGAGGAAGCGACTTTAAAAATAATACCACTTGTCATAGTGAGAGGTGATGACGTGGTCTACGCAACGGATTGTGGAGTCACCACCCTCATGGCTCCCCTTGCATAAGGAAAGTTGGGAGGCCAACCACTTAGGCGAGGGTCTTGATCATAAAAAAACAACAACCGGAACATAAGTAGATTTATAAAAAAAAATTAAAAAGAAAATAAACCAAATAATATTAAATGAAATCACATACACTATGACGAAATAAAGTGGATCACTGAATAAAAATTATATATATATATATATATATATACTAAAATATTAAGTGTTGTTGCAGACTACAATATGCTGATACGTGGTAAATAAAACAAAATATGTGTTGATTGATGTCACCAGTGGTGGACATACTTTAGTATGTCAAAGAGCACTACCTTAAAACTAGGGAGAATTATTAAAGGTAAAAAAAATAAAATACATGTGAATATTGAAGATATTCACGCAATAAAAAGATTTTTGTTGATTAAGAAAATTAAGGGAACTTTATTAAATTATTACAGTTAAGTTAATAGTAGTGTCGTAATATAATCGTCACTATTATTTTTATACGAGACAACACTAAAATACCCTGTTCATGTACTCAACAATGTTATC